TGTGAAGCACAATCAGATAATAATTTTAACCAAAATGCAGCTCAAAAACAGCACCAGGAAACAGAAGCTATTGCTTGTTATCTTTTTAATATTCTCCTTGAAAGTATTCTAAAGCCACCCAACATACACACCATGTAGCATTTATTTACTTCAATTTACAAGCTCTGCACTGTATTTTACCAGTCTGTAAACTGCCTTATTATTAATATTCACTGTACACTAAAAAAAAAATGAATGAAGCAGGATTGGGTGCTTTCACCCAAGATGAGAAGGATATATTTTGCAGGCCTTAATGTTGTGTTGTCTTAATGCAGGCCTTAATGTTGTGTAAGAAAGTACCATTTTTTTATTTAGATTCTGTTTCTGCATTTCTTCCACAAATTCAAATTGTCATCCACAGTTGTAAACTAACCATGACTGTGGTTAACTTGTTCAGCTCAGTGAGAGAACCTGATCGTGTTTCTGGGATTTATGTGCAGAACCCTGATGTTGATCCAGACATGTATGTGGTTGGTGGTAGAGACACAAGTACTGATTTGATTCCTTATAAATTCTTCATTTTTAAAAAAAAAAGTAAACTGATCTATAACACTGCTATTAACAGGCATAATAGAGTAGGCATCACAGGATTTGTAGATCAAGCCTTTCTTGAGTCTCAAGGTAAGATTGAGATACTTTGTTTGAAATGTTATCATAGAGAATAGTTGTCCTGGTGAAGAAAGCAACAAACAGGTTTTTCACTTGTTACAATAATAAGATAAATGCTTCAAAATATTGCAACAAACAGTAATGTAATACATTCTCTATAACACAATAATAACAAAGTAATAAACTTCTAAACTTCTTATTATGATGTAATAATCACCCAATAAAGAGAATAAAAAGAAATGTCTACCTTATAATGCAATCATGTCAACTGAGAAAGTGAAAGTGTTCAATCTGGTAATATGCATATGTAATTTGATTACAACTTAGTATACATTTATCCCAAAATCACAGGATGTTTTACAATGGCAACTAAATAAAAGAACAGATTAATGATAGAATTCAGTGGACCACGTCTAGAGAGGCAGAAGGCAGAAAAAGCACTTTGATTCATCCTGGTGGAACACATTGTCAGGTTTTCAAATTTTGTACGTGTTCCTGCTCCACTTTTCAAGAAACACATTTAAGGTTTTATATGAAGATATACACAAGGATTCTGTCACGGACGTCCAAAGGGACTAACCGTGGGGAGCAGGAGAGCAAAAAATGACCCATATGCGTAGCGGCGAGACGGGAAAAAGGCCCGGGCTCATTAGTGCAAAGAGTTCAGGATGCCGTATAGAAACCTATGCCCTCAGGGAGTGGACGTGGGGCGCCCTGGTGCTAGGCGGGTCTCAGGACATCCGAACATCAATGCTGAGCCAGGACAGAGTGCAAGACCCGGAAATATATAGCCCAAGGATAAGAGGGACAGGAAGGACAGCAGACAGGAAACTAGGGACAGGACAGAGAAGGAGCGCCCTCTGGCTGCAGAGGGCGTGACAGATTCCATCATCTTATTGACAGATTATAGATATTTATTAACATTTACTAATATTGTTTTGATTAGCTAATCCTGCATGACTACCCATGATTCATGGGAGTGACTTTGACAGTTGCATAAGTACTACATCACCTTGGTAGTGAGACAGCTGATTGGGCTGATGAAGTGATTTAGCCTGTTCGATTTCAAGACTAGTTCAAAATTAAGAAAGAAAAGTAGACAAAGCTACAGGTGTGATAGTCTGGGTGGGAGTGTCTAGTCACTAGAGGACCACACTGGTAGTGATTTATGACAATCTGACTGCATGATAAAACACTGATCACATCTTGTTACCTCACTTGTTGCTTCCTCTGTGGGCTCATTTTGATGTGCCACAATTCCAGCGGGACAAAGCATGTCCTCATGTACGTGTTGCACATGTAAGAATACCTTGCAAGATGGGAATGTGACAGTTATGTTGTCACAACCGTGCCAGATGTGAGCCCCATTGAGAATAAATGTAGCATGTAGCAAATGTCAGACTTAGATATCAGTGAATAGTAGTACATACCTATCCAGGACCTGTGTGTGGAAAAGGACAGAATCCCACAAGACAGCATCTGAAATGTGGTTCTTAACATGCATTACAGATGCACACCTAGTATTGTTTCCAATCCTGGCCACACGTGCTTACTAGCCTTTTCTTTCTCAATAGCCCTCCTGTTGATTCATTATCCACCCATCTACAGTATTTTCTAACACCTTCCAAGTCAGGGTCACAGGGAAGCTGGAGCCTATCCCGGCGAGCAATGGGCACAAAGTGAGAAACATCCTGGACAGGAAGCATGTCCATTACAGGGCACACACAGACACATACATGAACATACACATACCATGGTCAGTTTTCACAGAAGCCATTTCACCTACCTGTACAGTATGTCTTGTAGCATTCGGAGGAAACCAGATCTGCTGGAGGAAACCCATGAAAACACAGGCAGAACATACAAACTCCACACAGACAGCACCCCAGGTGAGTAATTGAACACAGGGCCTCAGCACTGCGACTCAGTAAAGCTAACCACTGCTTCTCTGTGCCACCCCTTGAGGTGAAGGTAATGGTTAATCTGTATAATGAATTAACCTATGTTATGTTATGTCTTGTAAATAAATATTAGTGCACCTGCTGAAATATTCATGATAATAACGAACAGTATCTCTGTTATGAATATGTGTACAACTGTTAGAATATAAGTGGTACATTTGATTTGATGCTCGGTACATATTTTACATTTGAAAATTTTTAAAAAGCCACATGTGTTGTTAATTAATATATCCCATTTATATGGAAGATTGCTTTGTGATCACAGATGACTCATCAGGACAAGACTGCAATGATTGCAAGTTGAGTTATATTGTTAGTTATAAATTATTACATTATCAGTCAGACATTTCACTTACGTTATCAGTTAATTTATTACATTCTAAGCAAAAACATTAGTTTATGAAGTATTGCTTCATTACTGGAAGATGAATAAATAAAAACAGGCTGTCATCTAAAAGACCTTGATCCTCCACTGAAGAAGGCAATGGTAAAACCTCAATTTTTCTGCCATGTTCTGGAAGCAGTGCTAAGCAATTTAACTTGAATAGAAGGAGGTTAAATGCAATTGTCTGATGTAACTTATCTTTTGCAAAGTTTTGTGATGCTGTACCTACAGTGCTTTTCAAATGTGCTGTATACACCTCAATGATGTTCTATCTTGCTTGAAACTTGAATACTCAGACTGAGCATTTTTATGGGTGAAAGAAATTAAACGTCAGAAAAAACTACAAAATAAAATTTAAGTACAATTAAGTACAAGTACAGTACTTTGATTCCTTAAGTATTAACCTTCCTCAGATAATATTTGGTTGAAGTATCTTTGGAAGCATTAACAGTTACAAGCTCTACCAACAGTACAGCAAGATGGCACAATTTTCTCCTGTTCTTCATTTCAAACATGCTTGCGCTCTGTCAAGCTGTTTGCCACCATTTGTGGACAGCAATTTTCAAGGCTTGTCACAGATTTTCTGAGCTTTGACTAGGTTACTCAGAGACATTTCTTTTTATTTTTACAATTCCAGTATAGCTTTGTCCTTGTAGTTTGGGTCATTGTTCTGCTGAAATCTAAGTTTGCCTCCCAATTTTAGGTCTTTAGCTGGTTTTCCTCTAATATTTGCTCGTACTTTGCTCCATCTATCACCTCAATCTTGACAAGCTTTCCAGTTCCTGCTAATGAAAAGCAGCCCCTTAACATCAAGCTTAACATTTGGTACTGAATGGTATTAACTGAGTGATGCACTATGATGGGTTTGTGCCGGATGTAAAGTTTTGCATTTAGACCAAAATTGCAATTCTGTCATGTCTGACCACAAAAGCTTTTGCCACATGTTTAAAGTATTGTATCACTTAAATGCTTTGTTGTTTTTCTCAGTAATGGCTTCCTTGTTGTCACTGTGTCTTATAGGATAGCTTTGAGAAGTGACTGACATGTTATTTACTCTGGGATATTTTCTCCCAACTTAACTATTGAACTTTCAGAGTCACCTCTCGCCTCATGGTGGCATCCCTAACCAGCTTCCTGCTTACCTGGCTGTTCAATGTGCAGGGATGGCCTGATCTGTGCAGTGCTTTGGTTCAAGTTCAAGTTCAAGTTCAAGTTTATTGTCATTATACTCATATACAGGTATATGGTATAACAAAATGCTATTTAGCTAGCTCTCAGACATAAGTATTGAAAATACGGTTTAGGGTAACATAGTGTTGGAGACCTTATTTTGATATAAAGATCTGTGGGATGGGGTTAAAAGGCATGTAGATAATTAAAACAATGAATCCTAAAAGCTCCTGCCCTTCGACAGCACGTTTTTCTTCTTTTGATGTAGGCCTACTTTTACTCTGCTACTTCTCCACCGCAGTGTCAAATGCAAATACTGTGCAATAATATACTGTGATCTCTGTTACTATCAAAGAGAACGGTTATTTTTTTTTATCCTTTTATCAACTTTTATCCTTATCCCTGCATGAATTTAAGTGGTTGCTGACGGTCCAGTCTAAAGACAAACATCTTCCAGTGCATAATACATAACTGTGTATTTTTAAAACTAAACAATGTTTACGAAACATCCCAAATAAGGCTTATTGTATATGCTGCCCCATTAGCTAGAACCTGAAAAACAAATAATACAGTATATGTTCATAATACAGTACACATCTGTACAACACAATAAACTTGATTTCTAAAAATACACACAATGATAAGTTAATGGTCTCCTTAAATGGGGGGGATTCTTCAAATGATATGACTAGATATGAAAATTCCCGTGAGAAATGTTCGATCGTTTTCTGAACGTTTCCAATACTGTTTCATTTCAGTTGTTTAAAGGTTTAACTTGTTTTCGTAGTTCTCTTAGATAGGGGTGCATATAGGAAAAAAATGGCTAAGTAACGAGCTTTGCCGGCCACCCGCAATTTATTGTGCAGTAAAATTAATGGATATCACATTGTGCTGTGGTTAAAATACAAAGACAAAGGCAAGGATTATAGAACACTGTCTAAAATTGTTTTCAAAACCTCTGTTATATAGGAATTTACACTTGTCATCCCCAGTTTCTTAGTGGAACCATATTTTCATATTTAGGTATCTTTTTTATAGATGGTGGGTAGCCTGTTTATAGCCAATATCTCAAAAGTCGCTTTGGTTGTAAAATGATAAACTGAAAAAAATATATAAACGCACATCCGTTTGTGAAGTTCACCAGGTTACACAGTTATTCATCAACGAGCTTTGAATACAAATTGACCAATGTTACAAGCCATATAGATTATATAGAAGACGAAATATGAAATGCTAAATAATACTGTAACGATACATACTGTATGTAAGTACTGAACACCATGACGTTGTCCCTCTTCGAGAAGACTAAAGAAAGTGTTGAATTCGTATTGACTTCATTTGGGGCTCTACACAATTCTTAAGAAAATGGTCGAGCTTTATTGTGTGACAAATTAAAAATTAAATCCCAAATGCGCCTTATTTGTCTTTGGTTACGTAGCAGAATACTTAAAAAAACAATTGATAATCATACATTTTTTAAATTATCTCTTGGATAAACATTTAGTCACTTTGGTCGCACTGATGCGAGAATGTGTTTGACAAAGTAACTTTCTGTTTCCCCCGTCTTATTATTAAATGAAAGTAAACTCAAGCCCCGTTTTTCTATGGAGTTGTTCTTACTATTAAAAAGAAGCAAACTCCTGACTGAAAGGAATACTTTACTGGCAGAGAGTCCTGGAATAATACACTTGGCATAAAACTGTCACGCCGTTGAGCAAAGATGAGGTTAAAAAATAAAAAATACAATCCAGCCTTTATTAACAGGATAAATCAACAATATATTTGTGCTGTAAATAAAATTCGAATCATACGAAATAAGGGAGGCTTAATACTTGTAAATCAACTTCATTTAATCTAAAAAAAAATCGTTATCGATTTTGCAATTCCGTTATGCAATGAAATAGTCTCCACTGTACCGATACCGTATTCCTCCTTTTCTGACACTTCTGAAGGAAACAATGATAGAAAATATAGTTAATTACTGTACATCTGGAATCGGGTGTTCTTGTTTTATACTTACAGCCTTTTACAAATGCTCGTAACTAGGCTATTTTGATTCTGTATCAGATTCGTATAAAATTACTGTAGTCATATGTAGTGTTTTGAAAAGACAATGCATAATTTCGGTGCCTTTAATGAGATTTATGGGACAAGTAATTGAAAACACTTTTCCACTTGGAGTTTGAGGCCAAGAACATATAGAAAAAATAGTCTAGGGTGGTAAAAAAAAAGTCTTAAAAGTAACATGAGGTCTGCTTCCCATTTGTTTTCAACACCTCTTTCATACAGTATATATTATTTAGAAAACAATATATAAAGTTTTGAATATTGCATTATGAAATGGCTTACTTTGCAAAGAAAAGTGCACACTATCATTTTTGGTTTGATTTTATTTAGACTTATTATTTAGGAGGATAGTTGATCTGTTGTCTTCGATATTTTCGTGTCGTTTTACAATATAAGAATCTTTGCAGACTCGTTAAAAACGGAATTCAATTCATTCCTTTTAACCCTCAAATAAGATATGATGACCTACCGTACTGTAGGTTTAGAAATGATACTATGTTTATACACTAACGCAGAGAATGAAAGTGGTCTTAAGGAAAATAAGGTTATAACCACATTTTTGAACATTTGGTGGAATCGGAAAAGTATTGTAAAAGATAGCCTATAATTTGAATATCACATACCGTATTAACAAAGCACCCCGTGTTAGTCATATAACGTGAAAAAAAGGAAAGTGATTAGACTCAAAAGTATTCCTGTGGGAAGAGTAAATTGCTGAGAATATTAACTAGTCATTACAGACTACATAAAAATCAATTGTGACACACCATAATAGTTGCTTGATTTAATTATTGAAGGCATGTAAATAGAAACCAGAATGTATGTTTTAAACCTTCATTGGCCAAAACAATTTGAATTATTTTGATGTCACGTTTTAATAGACCCTAAAGAAGTTACAACGGTAAAACTTAAAAAAACGTATTAAAAAAAACGTTCAAATAAATTATTGGACTAAGGACATTTTTGTCATTCAAAAAATATTAAAGTTAATCGTAGACATACAGAATAGTTGTAAACTCTTCACAAATGTTTTATATAAAAAAACTTGCAACTTTAAAAAATAAATACTGCCATAGAAGCTATTGCAGCCCCACACAGCTATTTGAATCTTCCAGTTAAGGAATAATTGTTTTCTCTTTACTGCCTTCTAACAGATACCCCCCAAAAAACCAAAGCAAAAACAGAACACACAACATCTTACAATGCTTGAAAGAAACGTATGCAACACACTATCAAAGTTCTAGGAGCAATTACAACTATTACTTTACCTTGTGTGGAGACTAGAGTACAGTACTGTACGTTTCTCTACGAAGGAATCGTATCAGAAGTCTTTTTATAAGCTATAAAAACTAAATTAAAGAACACTTTAAAATGTGAGATACCCGAAAATGTTCATTTGTAATGAAACAATGCATCTAATATGCATAATGGAAATATAAATCCTTGATTACATGACCCCCAATTCTATACTTGCATCTATAGTTTTCTTTAAACCAAAGTATTATATATTATTTCCATAAGTGTATTATGTGAAAAATAGTAGATCAAGTTTATGCAAAAGTTTACTAACTGCTATACAGTGAAAGTTAACCAAAAGGGGCAGCATTTCACTTGTTAAATACAGTACGTTTTGCATTGTAAAACTAAATCACCAATACATTAAAACCTTCTAACAGGAATTAATCTGAGACCTCTGTCTGATATATACAATGTCTATTTTTATTTAAGGAAGTGACAAAAGTCAAGTTAAATTTTGTTTGTTACATTATTTTATTCCTGGATGCGGATGCGATAGAATACATAAATCATTCAGTAATTGTAGCAAAAATATTTATGTAACATTCAAATTACATTTTCCCTTAGTTCTTCAAGAAATCAAGCTTTTAGAAAACTAAAGTTTTAATGCTGGTGCAATTATGCGTAATTATTATGATAAAGACTCAGACTCAATTAAACTAATTACGCACAATTTGTTGGTTTTATAACCAATATGTGACCCTTCGAGCTATAATCTAAACACTTCAGTAAAGGGATAGAATATGCTTTTGAAAGTTTTTCAACTGCTCTGCTAGATGATCATTTATTGGTGAGCTGTGTTAAGACCTTGAAAAACTCCTCCATGGTTTCACACAATCTTTCTGCCCCCCTGTGGTCTTCTTAACTGTTGCGTTCAACCCTGTGTTCAAAATACTGTTGAAAGCAGACTGAGTAGACCAGTATCTTTTTTCAGTGACAAATCAGTCTATAACTGTCCACAAACGTTTCGACATCCATCTCACATATGAGCAGAAGTGGAATCGCTGCTGGGCCTACACAGTCTTAAACTTTTTTTTCTATACACACTGCGAGAATTGCAAGCTCACCCTTTTTTTTCTGGTAACGATATGGTGTTACAGTACTGTATGTCCTCCTAAAAATAAACCTAAACCTTGGCAGACGTTTATGATCCCCTGCTGGATTTATAGCCTTTAAAAAGCAGGATATGTACTGTATCTGATGGGTTCTTAAAATGCGTAAAGCATGCACTTGGGTACCGGTTACGTTAAATAAGCTGTTGACTTGACACATTTAAAACGTGAGCACTTACAAAGCCATCTGGACACCGCTTGGCAGTGAGTTTCCCTGGTATCTGAACTTGCGCTTTTCTCAAAACAGATGTCCTGTTTCGAATACTGACACGATCATTAAGGTTATCGGTGCTGACCTTTTTTTCCTTCATTTCATTTCAAGATCTTCGTTTCGTCACTTCGATTTGTACTTGGTCTGAACACAGTAGTTTCGGCTACCCTGCTAACAAGAATATACAGTACAGTAGATCATTAAATGTGTACCCTTTTGAGCGACATATTTGGGACTACTGTGGTCCACTGTGGCACACGGTACACCCCGCAGGACCATGGACAGCGCTATTATGAACCCAATACAAAATTATTATTTAATCGAACAAATTTGATTACTCATCTGATATATTTGATTATATAGCAGATCTTCATTCTGCTTCCAGTAAATTGTGAATTTTTCTGCACCATCACAAAATCTATAATTTCATTTAAAAAAAACTGCAACCGTTCACCTCAGCTGAATGTCATAAACTGCACAAACACTAGACGCTACAGATATATTTATTGTTTTAAATGAAACACATTTATTTTATAGAGAAATCGACAATGTGCGCTGTATATTTCGAGTCATACCTATATGTGTGTAGGATGTCGTTAGAAAGTTTTTTACGTCTGTTGGGGGGCGTGTTAAGTTTTCTGTAAGACATCATTCTTGAATGGGAAGGAAACCAGTTTTAAGTGGCATGAAGACATCAGGTAGTGCTGTCAGACGACAGGGGGGCAGGGAAAATGTCGTCATAAGACGGAGGTGCGGCGCTGTCCAGCGCTTCTTCAGACGCTGTCTTTCTGTCTTTCCTCTCTCCACTTTCGTGGCTCCTGTGAAGGAATTACCACAGAATTATGAAACAGGCCAGCATTTAATGGTCATAAATCCTATTAGAAGGTCAAGGCTGTGGGGCGTTGAGAAAACCATCGGCGGATACGATGAAAAAAGATTGGCAATAAGGCTGTTCTGTTTTTTTTTTAAGAAGGCTTTGTATTGCCTTTCACCTGCCAGATCGGTTAAAAGACATGTTTGAGTGGTCACCATTACAATGTGAATATATTCACATTTGAAATGTTATATGTTCCCCATCTACACATTCTTTTCGTGATGTAAATTGTTAATTAAGAACAATTAATGCATTTTACTGAATGATGCGAGCATATTAAGGCTTTTCTTAAAATAACATTCACGAGTTTTCAAGGATTTTTGTTAAGATATTTACAACTGAAAAGCAAATTCGGGTCTTCATAACATAATAATAGCACGGGTTCGTTCGGCTTTCGCTGTCAGTGAGTTTTTGTAATCGGTCGTGATAACAAATCGCAACAAATAGCCTGATTACTTTCCGATGACACCCTTAAATACAGTATAATCTTGTGACATCACATGAAATTCGATCTCAAAATATGTGAGCCCGACCATCTGGGTCGCAATAAATTATCTAGACATAAGGTCAGCTGTCTTTCGTGACTCCGGTGTACAGTACGTTACTGTTGTCAAAATCAAGATACACCTTTTCTATACAAATTCGCTTTGTGGCATAACTTTATGTACCTGCTGTCACTGCTGTCCACCCCTTGACTAACGGGGGAATGGTCATCTCCCACAAAAGACAGGTTATCCAAAGGGTACATTGTGTAGTACTGTGGAGGACATATCGCTGTTCCACAGACTCCATTTAGTGGGTTGGCAGTCGGAGAATGGTTGGTAACAATTCCATCTTGTGTCAATGTGGCATTGGGAGGTGGAATGTACTGGACCACGGTGGCCCCATGGAAAGTGATGGGTTGATTGATTCCAGAGAAAACAAACGATTGTCCGCACGGTCCTTGATCTGCCTCTGGAAAAACGTCTTCGCCCTGTTTGCACAATTTGCAGGTAAGCATCTTAAACTTGCACACTCCGATTAGGACGAATGTTACTCCAACTGAAAGAAGTATGGGACCGAGTAACTGAGTCCATTCGAAGTCCTTGCTGCTGTCGTAGCTGATCCATCCCATCACCGTAAATGTTAATCCCACCAGTCCCAAGAACACCCCAGAAAATAATAAGGTGGCCCCTGCTTTGTCACCGTCTGTTACTTCATTGTCAGATCTATTGGGCCGATAAGGAGAAACTGAGAAAACGTTCACAGAGAAGTCTTCTGAATTGTTGTTTCTATTACAGGCAGCGCTGATACTATAAATATTATTATTTTGAGTCTGATCCATCTGTAGATTGTTCTGGACCATGTTTTGCTTTGAAAAAATGGTTGTCCCATTTGTATATGGGTTACTTTATGAATCTGAAAGTTCGTCTTATAGGACAAATGCCGCATCCTGTAAATATTTAATTGAATACCGAGGCAGTAAAAGTTACAGTGTAATCGAAATTGCAACTGTCTGAAACGCTGCACTCCTGTACAAAGGTTTGTTTTTCTTGCAAATGTTCTCAATGAGACTAGTCAAGTGTTAAATCCACAAGAATGATTTTAGCATGTTACGAAACCAACAGACGTGAATGTTCTTTTTCCCCTAGATCAGAATTTAATTTTAATTCTGGTTGAACAATAAGCAAGGTGAGAAGAAGAATCAGTAAAATAAGCCTTCATCATTTTCAAATACTGAACCATATCTCTGATTGGAATGCTCTTTAATTTTACTCCTTCATTTTTATCAGGTGTTTTGCTAATCTCAAGATTGCGTAGTTCAGATAAAATAAAATTACAAAAATCAAATATCTTTTATTGTTCACGCTACATCTTAGCAAGTAGAAGCCTTCTAAATTTCACACCTGAAGAAGGCTCCACAGCCGAAACGTTGTGTTTCTTTTCTTCTCTTTTCAGCATGGAATAAACCTTTACTTGTTCCTTTGCAGCCTATGCATGCTGGTGCACCTGCCTACTACAACGCTTTCTAAATTTGATCCCAGATTTTTATGATGAATTTCTAATCACATTTCTGATTTGAGTGCTTTTTATTAATGACTTATTCATCCCTAATTTGCACACGCTAAGTCCTTTAGTGGTTTTGTCTCATGAACACACAATATTTTATTTTAAAAATTGGCCAAACATCAAAGAATTTAGAAAACTTTGAAAATCAGAATGGAAGACTATTTTGATCTTCAGCATTATAAACCATTACCTCTAATCTCCTACATATTTCCTTGTACTGTGTACTGCTGCTTTTGCTTTAGGATAAGACCATGTTATGGGAGAGGGTGGTACATGCTGAGCCATTCAACCATCTAGGAGGTGTGGAAGGTACCACCTGGCCAATTCCAATTGTATAACCTCACACTGATAATGACCCATTCAATGTCTGATTGCAAACACATCAGCTGGCCTGTTCCATTGGATTTCAATCTGACATTTAAAATAAACAACAATTCAAGTGTCCAAAAAACTGAATGTTTTTTCTTTGCAGTTGGGGATTCTGACTGCTTGATACAAAGCTCTGGCATCCAAGAAAATCTGTGATTTTCTTTGGCTTTTCTGATGAGCACACCTTCCAAAAACCTCTGGCTAGAAATTTATGATTTTTGTTCGAATGTCTCTGTTTCTCTAAAAGTTAATTCTGGCATGCCAGGGAGCCCACCTGCAGCCCATATAATAACAGAATGTCCTTCATACTTCACAATAATTTGAGGACATCTACTGTAGGCCCTCAGACTTAATCTAATATTCAGACATTAATTTCTTTGTGAAATAGATGATACATCAGCAAATGTTGCTGAAACCTGGCCATAAAATGTTTACAATAGAAAAAAAAAAACTAAAGATATTTACTGTAATCCCATTCTGTGTATTTCCTTCTGCTGTCAATAATTAATCTTAATGTGTATCATTTCAGTTGAATGATCTTTTCTTAACTAGATGTTTATGTTTAACAGCTGCTGCATTCTTCAAAAGGTTTTATATTTTAAAGGTTTTTTTATTCTACTTACCAGAATGACTTACTGTATATTACCTTCCATGGATTCCAAAAGATTTAAGGCCCCTGTTACCCAGGATAACAATATAAAATGCTTACACCTATAGTAACCAATTGCTTAATTGCAATAATACATTTTCAATGCGTGGTTGAAGTAACCAGGGCAGGGTGGTGGCTCTGTGGCTAAGGATCTGCACCTGTGGCTGGAAGGTTACCGGTTCAAATTCTGCAGCCAGCAGAGGACTCCTACTCCACTGGGCTCCTGAGCAAGGCCCTTAACTCCAACTGCTCCAGGGGTGCTGTACAATGGTTGACCCTGCGCTCTGACCCCAGGCTCTCTCCCTGTCTGTGTGTCTCATGGAGAGCAAGCTGGGGTATGTGAAAAGATGAATTCCTAATGCAAGAAATTCTATAGGGCTAGTAAAGTGATGTTAATGTTAAACACTTGCAAAATATTAAGTGGAAAAAAAAACAAAGCTTGCCAAGCTAACATCCCTAAAGAAAGTTTGTGTTGTAAGGCCATTTTATAATCTTCAACTAAGGGAGTTCTTCAGTTCAGATGTATGTAAAATAAACAAAATTAATTAATCATATTTTCATTTTTACCCAACTAAATTCTTAACATGGTCATAACGTTTTTAATTGAATTTAAAAAGCATAACAAATTCTGCGGAATGGTGAGATATTTTACAAAGTAAAATAAGTGACAACCACAAAATCTGAATTTGAATTTGTGTTAAGTGAATTACCAGAGATATTGGAATATAGCTGGATATACTTGCTTTTATAAAGCAACAGATCTCACTGTAAAGGGAGAACAGTGTCATAATTAATAATGTGTTACCATGTGTACTGTCTTTAAACAGACATTTGGAAGAAATGCAGCCTAAATTGAAGTACCAGTGGTTGGGAAAATGTATACGTTATATGTCAAAGTTTGGAACGAATGAATGATGCAAAGAAGGTCTAGGGCTGGGGGTGACATCACTCAGCTTTCTTAGTTCTAATCCTTGATTTACTAATATCTTGGCGTTCCTGAATAGTCAAACATTTTCCCACTAAAAATATACTGAAGACATGAAAAGGGAATCTGCATTATTTGTGCAGTGTCAGCTCAATGTGTCCTCCTGTGTCTAGCAAAGCCATCCAACTGCTGATGGTATGTACATCATCTAATAAATCAACACAGAGTGTTTGCACATTATATCTGGTGTCTCTAAAAAGATGGATGGTTTTTTAAGCAAGTTTCTGTCAAATATTTCTCTGCATCGAGCGTGGCGTGAGTTGTTCTTTTTTCCCTATTAACATGTTGCTGTCCAACGTGCTCTTTCATCTTTTTTGTAACCCACAAAGCAAACACCCCACACCCCTAAATCCCCCTGCTCCCACCATCATTGGTACTCATCTACATGTTTCAACCAAAGGCCACTAAAATGACTTTGAACAGGTAGGACAGAAGAATTGTGTAATAAGGACATGTCCTTATCTACCATGCCAGCTAACCATGTCAGCAGCATCTCTTAATGTTTCCCATCATTACTCTTTGGCACTACTGACCACTGCTGAAGTAGAGAACTTCCTGTAAATAATTGCCAAGATAGGATGGATCTAATGACTTCAGGGAACATAATGCAGCACCAACAACCTTTTAGCTTTGCTGAAACCAATCAACCACATCCATTGTCAGCAGCCATATCACCCTGCAACTCACAACTGGCAACCCACTGAAGCTAAGCAGTTGTAAGCCTTGTCAGTACCTGGATGAGAGACCTTCTGGGAAAAAACCAAGGTTGCTGCTAGAAGAGGTGTTAGTGGGGCCAGCAGGGGGCGCTCACCCTGTGGTCCATGTGGGTCCTAATGCCCCAGTATAGTGATGGGGACACTGTACCGTAAACAGGCACCATCCTTCGGATGAGATGTAAAACTGAGGTCCTGACTCTCTGTGGTTATTAAAAATCCCAGGGCGTTTCTGATAGCTGATGTGTGGTGAGCGTTCTGGTGCACTATGGCTGCCATCGCATCATCCAGGTGGATGCTGCACATTGGTGGTGGTGGTAGAGGGGAGTCCCCATTACCTGTAAAGCGCTTTGAGTGGAGTGTCCAGAAAAGTGCTATATAAGTGTAAGCAATTATTATTATTATTATTATTATTTCTGCCACTGTGAGTGGGCCAAGGTCAGAATTATAATTTAGCAAGATTAGTGTGAGAAACCAAGGATAATTGTTGTTTAGAATAGCAGACAAAGAATATAAAACCTTCTTCCAACCTGTTTCCTAAATGTAACTTCATGTGGACACCTTCTAAAATGTGTAAAAAGGTACCTTGTGGGCTCAGTAGCGCCTCATGGACAGAGTGTGCACAAGAGACTAGGGATACGTTTCATATAATAACATCTATGAGCCATGCTGCAGAACATGTTTTGTTTAATCCCTCCTGTGACCATATCAAAGGCTGCATGGACACGCTATGAACTCAGTTTCTCTGCATTGCCTTTCCTGTTCAATGCTGGAACATATTGTAGCATTTAAAAGTGCTTATGTGGGTTAAGAAGAATGAGGAGGTGGAATCTTTGCTGTTGAACTGGGTTTGATCTTTTATTAGGTTGGCGAGTGCCAGCTCACAGCTACACAGTGAGATACTACATAGCATATGTAGGTGTAATAATCACTGCTCTGACAGCAGCAATCTAAGACAGAGAAAAGAACTCGGGTGCAGAGCGCAGCAAAGCAGGCAGACAGATGTCAGTTGTAGGCACTAAATGTGAAATCCCAGCCATGGTTGGAAAACAAACAGAGTTTGTAGGTAGTACAGACAAAAAAGCACAAAAGAGAATCCAGAAGCATATTCAAGGTACAAGTGCAGATCAAAACCAAAGAAAGCCAAGCAGAGCGCAGGGGGAAATCCAAAGCAGAGTTGAAAACACAAGCAAGACCTGAAGCCGGGAAGAGATGAAAAACTCAGCGGAAAACAGGAATGAGCACAAAGACAAGAGGGAGGAAGACTGAGCAAGGATGAATAGTGAAATCAGGTAATATCCCATTGGAATCAGGTAAGTAAATAAGTACTGGTTTACTAGCACATGGGTGGGACCGATTTCCTGCCACTTTGTGTTGTCATGGTAGTGCACTAATTGGCAGGTGTAGTAGCAGAAATATTGGTTATCGTGGTGACTAGGAAGCATCTTCTGGCCTTTAGGTTTGACAACAGAAAGAGCAGTACATTCCCAAACACCAGTTAAGATGACTTCACAAAGTGTCTCCTGGCCCCTTCTCACTTTTTGTATACACCCCCCCCCAAGCTTTACAAAGTCTAGGGACCATCCCCAAATGCAAACAAAAAAATACAGGAAGAACCTGAAACAG